CAGCACTTTGGAAACAGGGCTGAAACAGAGGGGATTATGGGTAATGCTGCAATGATCTGTTTGGTGTGTCAGCCAATCAGAGAAAGGCTCTGGATATATCTGAGAGCTGTGATATACTGATGAAGAAGAGGATGATGATGGGGGACCTTTAATCAAAAAGAGCGTAATGAAATGAGCGTGCAGAATTCGTGTTTTACCTGAGAACCCAAAACAAAGAACCAGAAGATGAATTACATATTCAGTTCAAATCAACATTAGCTTCTGGCAATTTCACAAATCCAGACACAACAAGTAAAGCTTAGGACCGGTTGCTTCCACGGAAGCCCAGTAAACACCAACAAAACAGATCAGTAATAATAAATAAATACGTCAGACGAATCTAGCATTTAAAAAGAAGAAAGTATCTTTAAAAGTACAATTTCATATTTGTATTCACATAATTAGAACTTTTAGATTAAGCAAATGCAAATACGGAACAAATCCACATTCAGGCGCTACAATAAAACACTCTTTAAAAAGCTCAAACCCTGAAATATCCTCTTCCTCCTCTCCTCTTCCTCGCTGAGCTCAGGTTTCTGTCATCATGAGAGTGAAGCTCAGAGTACATATAGAGACTAACTAAAGATGAACAGTTTTATCATTTAAAAATCTAAATGATAAAATAATATTTAATTCATTTTCATCTGATATTTTTGACCGATTCATTTTCCAAATTATGATCAATATTTGAATGTTTTCTTGTGTTATTGTTTCTCATTTGTATATTGTTATTATCTTAAACAAATAATGATCTCAGAGCCATGTGTACATGTCAGTAAGGGACCATGTGCACCCGTCGGAAAGGGTACCCGTCGGTAAGGGACCTCGTGTACCCGTCGGTAAGCGACCATGTGTATCTGTCAGTAAGGGACCATGTGTACCCGTCGGTAAAGGACCATGTGCACCCGTCGGTAAGGGACCATGTGCACCCGTCGGTAAGGGACCACGTGTACCCGTCGGTAAAGGACCATGTCTACCCGTCGGTAAAGGACCACGTGGACCCGTCGGTAAGGGACCACGTGTACCCGTCGGTAAGGGACCACGTGTACCCGTCGGTAAAGGACCATGTGTACCCGTCGGTAAGGGACCACGTGTACCGGTCGGTAAGGGACCTTGTGTACCCGTCGGTAAAGGACCATGTGTACCCGTCGGTAAGGGACCTCGTGTACCCGTCGGTAAGGGACCATGTGTACCCTGTCGGTAAGGGACCTCGTGTACCCGTTGGTAAGGGACCATGTTTACCCGTCGGTAAGGGACCATGTGTACCCGTCGGTAAAGGACCACGTGTACCCGTCGGTAAAGGACCACGTGTACCCGTCGGTAAAGGACCACGTGAACCCGTCGGTAAGGCACCATGTGTACCCGTCGGAAAAGGTACCCGTCGGTAAGGGACCTCATGTACCCGTCGGTAAGGGACCATGTGTACCCGTCGGTAAGGGACCTCATGTACCCGTCGGTAAGGGACCATGTGTACCCGTCGGTAAGGGACCATGTGTACCCGTCGGTAAGGGTACCCGTTGGTAAGGGACCATGTGTACCCGTCGGTAAGGGAAAATGTGTACCCGTCAGTAAGGGACCACTGTACCCGTCGGTAAGGGACCATGTGTACCCGTCAGTAAGGGACCATGTGTACCCGTCGGTAAAGGACCATGTGCACCCGTCGGTAAGGGACCATGTGTACCCGTCGGTAAGGGACCTTGTGTACCCGTCGGTAAGGGACCATGTGTACCCGTCGGTAAGGGACCTCGTGTACCCGTCGGTAAGGGACCATGTGTACCCGTCGGTAAGGGACCTCGTGTACCCGTCGGTAAGGGACCATGTGTACCCGTCGGTAAGGGACCATGTGTACCCGTCGGTAAGGGACCATGTGTACCCGTCGGTAAGGGACCATGTGTACCCGTCGGTAAGGGACCATGTGTACCCGTCGGTAAGGGACCATGTGTACCCGTCGGTAAGGGACCTCGTGTACCCGTCGGTAAGGGACCATGTGTACCCGTCGGTAAGGGACCATGTGTACCCGTCGGTAAGGGACCATGTGTACCCGTCGGTAAGGGACCATGTGTACCCGTCGGTAAGGGACCATGTGTACCCGTCGGTAAGGGACCAGGTACCCGTCGGTAAGGGACCTCGTGTACCCGTCGGTAAGGGACCATGTGTACCCGTCAGTAAGGGACCATGTGTACCCGTCGGTAAGGGACCATGTGTACCCGTCGGTAAAGGACCACGTGTACCCGTCGGTAAAGGACCATGTGTACCCGTCGGTAAAGGACCTCCATACTTTACAACAGAAACTCTGAAGAGCATATTGAAACAGCTTTATTTCGTACGATTAGAGCCCGATGCGTCTTTAACAGCAAACATTTAGTGACGTCTGTTCGTTATAATCTTATTAAAATAATGAACGCATGCAGACATATATTTAAAGCTCTTGATAACACATGCTATTTATAATTTAGAACAAAACAAGACGTTTTATATCCTGATGAATGTACTGCTATTAAAACAATGAATATCAACTAATATATATAATAAATACTTTATATATTTAGGTTCTTAACAGTGCTTGCAAGTGGAATGTCTTTTATTTTGAAGGAGTACATATTTGGTCGTTTCAAATCAAGACACAACGATTTTTATACTAAAAACCTTCAATATTTGATCATATGTAATATCTTATGATGTTATTTGGTCGCTATTTAGATGTAAACAGTAATAGTTTGATGTGTTCACTCTGCCCCTTCACAATAAGATGTGTTCACTCTGACCCTTCACAATAAGATGTGTTCACTCTGACCGTTCACAATAAAATCCTTAAGACATGTATTCAAGCTTTTTATGCTGTTAATTGTTTTTCATGACTATCTTTAAGTTAACATTCAAGTAGAAGTCGTTTTCTGGCTCTAAATCAAGAACCCGTCAGTAAAGGCGTCCCACAGGGCTCTACACTGGGTCCCCTTCATTTCACTATTTACATGAATAATACACAAAATAATGCATTTTAATTTTAATATATAAAGTATTTAACGACTAAAGCCTGTTTGTTAGATTTAACACAAAATATATATGAGCTAGTGATGTGACGTTCGCGAACGATCCAATTCTTTTGAACGGCTCTTTGGTACGAATGAAGGGAACCGAGTCGTACTTGGTGAAAGCCGTTCTTTTTATCGTTGGTTCACTGCCGGCCATAGATCCATTCGCCTTTACGGGGACTTGCTCTCCTGAATGCACATGAGCCGTAGACGATGGCGTGACGCTGCTTGAGTTGGAGTTCGGCTGAGAGATGAAGCAAGTTAGACGTCTTCTGAGAGTTAAAGTAGATTTCTGGCAATACAGTCAATCTTTATCCTGGGGATTATTTTGCAGATAAACCAAGTAACCCCGCCCCCTTAAAAAACAAATGGCTCTTTTGAACAGCTCTTTTGAACGGCTCTCGGAAAGGAACGGAACCATAAGATCCAGCTTCCTTCAAAGAGCCGCAATTCCCATCACTAATATGAACTATGATCTTTTTTTAATAGACCTAACTATTTCACAAAACCAACTCAACGTCAAGCCACATGAAAAAGCTGCATTAATGCAATCATCATACTAATACGATTCTCATGAATGGTCTAAGCTGTATGTTTTAAACTTTAATTTAATTAGATGTTTTGCTAATAATACGTGTTTATATATTTTTTTCTTTCAGAATAATACACAAAATATAGAATTTTCTAATAAACAAAGCGAGACACAACATTTCTCCCCCAAAAAATCAGAAACCATCTGTTGTTTCTGAGTTTAAATCTGGCACAGTGAAACCAGTCGAAGAGACAATTAATCTCCAACAACTATCTTTGTTAACGATTAAAAAAAGGTATAGTCACTGCTGTAGATATATATATATGAACTATAAACATACAAATACACATATTATTTTAAATTCTATAAAGCTGATTATTTCCTCAAATCAGCTCTTTTTTGCTCATGCTACAAAACCAAAATGTGTTATTGGTCTTTTTTTAGGCCATGATGATGATATGATGAGATGATATACAGCCTTACGCAGGACTCAAGCAGGTATTAAAAACACTAAAATATTGAATATGCTACCGGTATCACCGTCATCTTCTCCTCGAGTGCAAAACATTATTTTTAATCCAACACGGAAAATAAAGCAAATATATTTTGGAGAGAAATATGTAATAATGCAGTAAAATGATTTAATGATAATAAAAAATATATAAAATAATAGAAACTATATTTAACTATAATAATAATAATAATAATAATAATAATATGTTGCTCTTAAAAGGGCTATTCCGCCTTATTTATCAAATATAAGTAGATTTAGCCGATAATATGCCAAGACATATATATAATATATACAAAAATAAAATAAATTCTGCATTTTTTAAAGTTGAATTTAGGTGCATTTGGCCGATAACACTTCTGTGCTTTTACCAAGTAACACTTTTAGAGCTTTTACTTTAAACTAAGTATTTCTTACAGTAGTATTGTAGTATTACTGCCTTATATTTAAGCGTTGACTGGCAGATCAGCTTCTTCGTAAACAGAACAACTCTCTGACATCAAATCCACGTTTAAAATCCTCCCCTTCATCATCATGTGGCAAAACAATGGTTTGAAATAATGCAAAATGAGACTTCCAGTCTGTGACGGCCGACAGCCAATCAGAAGACTTTCTGCACGGCAACGTCCCGCAGGAAAAGTCTTCCTAAAGTCTCCGATCTCAATCCTTCCTTCGGGTTGAAACGTCTCTGCGAGGCCGACACCAGCAGGACGGCGACATGTGTGAGTTCACTTCCTGTTCAGTCACTTCCTGTTTGGTCACTTCCTGTCCTCAGGCCCTGCTGAAGCTGGGGACCACCAGAACCAAGATGGCCGCCACCGCCACCGCCGCCACCGCCAAGCTCCAGCCTTCGGTCTGAGGAGCAGAGGGAATAACACCGGTGAGAAACTGAAAGGAATACATTCACCCTTCATAACGCGCCCGAGAAACAGACAGGAAGACACTAGCAGGTGAACAAAAATGCAGGGTTTTCAATCTGTCCAAAAATGATCTTGAAGATATTGTGTTTACGTGTTAGAGCTCATCGCTAGGAGCTACACATGATGTCATGACCCAAAACAGTCAATGTATTTCAAACGAGACGTAAACCATCGCCTCGCTAGCCTAACAAGACAGGAGCTACAAACCGAGTCTATGGAAGCTAACATTGTTAGAATTCGTGGAAAAAGGTAGGACCCAAATGCAGAATACAAAAAAAGGCAAAAAAGGTCTAGGAACAAAAAGCGAGCTTTATTTTTTTTTAAAAGCTGACAGGTAACACAAGGTAGCAATAACACAAAAACTGACCATGACCAACATGGAGGGAGACAGGAAAGACAATGAACCGACAAGGAACACAGGACAAGACAAGACTAAATACGAAGAGGGGTAATCACAAAGACACAGCTGGGCAGGGGAGGCAGGTGAACACAAGGGCAACAGGTGAACACAATCAGACGATCAGACACAGGAGGAAAAACACAAGAAGGAAAACAAGAGACAGGGAGAACAGAATTTAAACATAAAATCATGACAAGACAGAAAACTAGGATTGTGACAAACATTCACCAAACACTGATAAATAATAATAGATATCAGTCAAGTTAGGATACAAAGAGACAAAAAGTATTCCGTCTGATCTTGGAATTGAGCCCCTTCTTTTCTAGCGTTCCTAACTGTAACCCTGCTGAAGCTGCGATGCATGACCCACAACCAGAACTATAAGACTAAACATGGAGCTGAAGATATCTGCAGAAAGTCCCAACATCTACTTATTTGATGCCACCTGGACGTTCAAACCACATGGAGAGACTCGGTCGGACCGCACGTCAGGCTGCTTTAAACTGAATCAAAGTAGTTAACTCTTGGTGGGACTTCCCAGATTATAAAACCAATCCCAGAAGAAAGGGTAAAGGCAGAATCAACTGCAGTTTGTTTGGACGTAACCCCGTATTTTAGCCACTGCTAAAGTTAGCGTCTGGTAGAGAAAGAACGGCGAGGCCATACCTGGTCCTCTATGACGCCATCTCCTCCCACCAGCACCAAACCAAGGCCACTATAACAATCATTCCTATGAGGGGGATGGAGAGGACGGGGGATTCAGAACCGCCATGGACGCTCTGGGGAAAAGACAAAAGGCAGGAGTGTAGGGGGGGGGCGTGGTGAGAGGAAGTATCAAATAATCAGGAGAATAAAGTCAGAACGTGTCGAGGTGAAATAAAGGGGGAAGGAACAGATCGGGCTGCATGCCGAAAACATCAACTTTACAGAGAATTTGATCAAGTTTGTCGTGTGATCAGTGACGGTGGAGGGAGGAAACAGAAAACTCATGCAGTCAGAGAACGGAGATGGCCTTCAGAGTCTAAAACATCTACGTCCTGTCCCTAAAGATATGTTCAAGTTCCATTACAACGTCAAGGTAAACTAGAAAGGACCAGAATGTAAGCAAATGATCAAATGAAGAGGAGTTGAGGTGGTTCTACAAGACTTGAAGGTTAAGGCAAGAAGATAACCAAGTTCAGTCTCTACCCGTTCAATGC